ACAACAGCGGAAAACGACAAATTCTCCACTTTGGAGAGAATTTGCATAGAAAAACACAACATCAAAAGAAAATGTGTTCAAATCAGACAGCCTGATGGAGACACGGTGGAAGCAAAGAGGCAAATCATTTTCATATATTCTGAAGCTGCCCTGCTGTAATCCCAGTTTGGTTAAAAACACACCAAATTCTAGAGACCGTTTTTTAACTGAAACTACTTTAAGCTTCATTCTCTTGTACCGAGTTGATTTGGAGGAACTTGATTGGAGGAGCAAAGGATGCATATTATTAGTGGCCTGTAAGAAATCCATTACAGAGAAATGGATGAAAAAGGAGGCACCCAGTGTAGATGATTAGATCGGCACTGTGCATGGTATCTTTGTGATGGAAAGAATTACTTTTAACTTGAGAACGCATAAACATATATTAGTTGAAAATTGGCAAAAACGCACTGCATGTATTTTTACCATTAAACTTTGGTTAAATATCACTGCTAATATTACCATTATTGTTATTATTAGTACATTTCTCTTTCTCTTTCTTACTCTCTTTGCTCCACTCACAACTGGAAATCTCTACAAGTCTCATTAGGCAAATTTTTTTTTATTTTTATCTCCCTGCATACTCATCAAAAGGTCTTATTTGTTGTTTTTTGTGTGTCTGTTCACAAAATTTTAAAAAATCAATAAAAAGAAAATGTAAGAAAAAAACGATCTGGCTTGTTTCTATTTCTTTAAACCAATCACAGTCATCTTGGGTGGCATTAGGCCGAGGATGCTGCTGTAAAATAGCGCCGGTGGAACTAGTTTGTGCATGTAGGGAGGCGACCACTGGCACTTAAACGGCTAATTTCCCGCAAAAATGCAACAAAAACAGTAAAAGACGTACATCAACTGTTTGATGTAACTTCTCCCAAATAAAAAGACAAACATAATATACTTATAGGTGCCGTTGATTTGCGCCCTGCCTGTACTTCAACTGTAGAGGAGCTACACTCAGTAAATCACCAATATGACAGAAGCTTGCGTGAAGCGGATCGGTACATTTGTCAAGTCAACGTCACTGGTGCACGACGGAAAGAAAAGATGTGACAAACCAACTCCAAGCAACAAAGGCAGCGTCAGAAAATTGATCAGCATCAGCCATCAGAGTCCTGTGACGGGAAGTCTGGGCTTTTTCAAGGAGCAAACTATCGTCAAATCAGATTCAATACATCCATCCATCCATCCATCCATCCATCCATCCATTTTCTTCGCCTGCTGCCCCCATGACCACTCCAGTGTCGGGTCGTGGTGGCAGCAGGCGGAGCTCTTCCAGCTCTTCCTGGGGGGATCCCGAGGGGTACCCAGGCCAGCCGAGAGATATAATCCCTCCAGCGAGTTCTGGGTTCTGCCCCGGGGTCTCCTCCCAGGTGGACATGTTCGGAAGACCTCCAGAGGAAGCTTCTCCGGAGGCATCCGGATCAGATGTCCATACCACCTCAACTGGCTCCATTTAACACAAAGGAGCAGCGGCTCTACTCCGAGCTCCCTCCAGATGTCCGAGCTCCTCACCCTATCTCTATACATTCAGTACATCCATCCATCCATTATCTATACACCGTTTAATCCTCATTAGGGTCGCAGGGGGGCTGGAGTCTATCCCAGCTGACTTAGGGCGAAGGCAGGGGACACCCTGGACAGGTCGCCAGTCTCATTCAACACATCAATACCCTAAATCTAAGACTAATATATTCGCGTCATTGATGCTCTGAGGTTATTGTTTCCCACAGCAAAGGGGATTTTGAAAACACAGATAAGGAGAGGCGAGGTGAAGGCCACATGAGACAGTCTGCATCCGTTCAGTCGGACTAGTTAATGATCAGTCACCACTAGCATCACAGCAAACACACAGCTGAAAACTGGAAAGAAAACTTTGGAGCACATCTCACCTGAAAAGTACTCTTCAAGCTCTTCACTTCTGTCAGCAGATGCTTAAGAATCTCTGAGGGAAGGATACAGAAATGTCAGAAGACATCACATGCATATCAAATACAAAAAAAAGTCAAGGAAAAGGACTTGCCCTTCTTAAAACAGGGGAAATGTTAGGCCTGCAATTAAATGAAAAGTTGAAGCACTCAAACAAAAACTCTGCAGGCCTGTATAATGTTTCAACACTTATAAAGAGAGGAAAAATGTATTGAAAATTAAAATGCCAGCACAATGACTGACTTATTAGACTCTTGCCTGCTGTGTTCATGGCTCCGTCCTGACTGCCAGTGATGCCCAGTGTGCTCCTACACTCCTCCAGCAGCTTCTCCAGTTCTTCGCCTTGGCTGTCCTTCGGTTCATGACCCGGCGGCAGAGACTGACTCAGACCGCTGTCGCTTTCCCTCCAGTTCTGTTGCGAGGAGCTGCCCGCCACAGGTGAGGCACTCCACTGAGAAGCAGGACTTTTTAGAGGCCTGACAGCCGCGCTCTTCCCCTGAGAGCCTAGAGACCTTGGAGTCGAGCTGGAAGGACCACCGTTCCTCCCCAAAGCAGCTTGCCCTCTGGCCGCCACCGTACTTCCTGATTTGCTGTGCACTGGGCTCGCTGCAGGCCCAATTGTGAAGCTGTTTGCCAGTGGAGGAGGCCTCCATTCAGGAGGGGGAATGGGAGTGCTGGGAGCGCTCGGCGTGCTGTGCTGTGATCTCTTTCCACTGGGCGTGATGGCTGATGATGGAGGTAAAACTGGGACCACAGGGGGAGATTGAAGCTGGAGACCAGCGGGCACGACACCAGCTCCATCGCTCTGTGGAGTGGTAGGCGGAGTGTGGAAACTCTCCAAATGGGCCCCTAAATACAAACAAGAACACATGTAATACATGTTTGAAAACAATCTTCAAAGATGGTAAAGACATGAAATGATGCTGTTCTGTGAATTAGCTGCTGTAATTATTGGGAACAATCACTGACACTGAAAATGAGGCATGGTTTTTAAAAATTGTTTTCGTCAGTTGCTTTTCAGTTCAGTGTAAAAATTTGCCAAAAACACAAGGCTTTGGAAGTAATGGAGTATAAATTATTACAAAACAAAATGGTGGTTTGTACATTGTGGGAAGTTTTGACAGCAGCAGAATCAACAAGCATCTGGAGAGGAGCAGGTGCTATTCTAAAAGATGCAGCGTCAGGAGAGTCAGAACCACTGGAAATGTCATTTCATTCATAGTGAGATCGTTTTAATATCTGTTGTCCTTGTAGGTGTTAACTACTGTGGACAGATTTTAAAAAAACGTTAGATTAAAAGTTTTTTAGGAGAACAATCAGTCATGTAGATGAAATAGCTCCATAGATTATTTGATAGAAAATTATTTATTGGTGGCAGCCGCACTATGAATAAGATCTGGTTTTCTTTCACGTAAGATACTTGTACAAAATATACATATGTCAAGGCCAAGATTAGAATCCGGCCCGATTCCAGATCGGCCCAGATTAGAATTCTATTCTACGCCGGCCTGGAATAGAATCTTCATTGTTTTTCCTACAGATTCTGCTCCGGCCGGCCCAGATCAGAATTCTGATCCTGAGCCCAGATTAGAATCTTGACACCAACCTGGCCCAAATTGGAATTCTGATCTTTGCTGGCACATATTTGGAATTTGACTTGCTGGTCAAGATATTAGAATCCGATCTGGAATCGGGCCGATTGTAATCTGGGCCTTGACATATATATAATATAGAGGGAAGCATGCCTGCCACCACTGCAGCAGTTGTGACGCCATCAAATCATGTAAATGGTAAATGGTCTGTACCTATATAGCGCTTTTATCCAAAGTGCTTCACAATGTGTATCACATTCACACACACATTCATACACCAATGGTGACAGCTGCCATGCAAGGTGCTGCCTGCCATTGGGAGCAACTTCAGGTTCAGTGTCTTGCCCAAGGACACTTCAACTGTGGAGGGGCCGGGGATCAAACCACCAACCTGGAGGACAACTGGCTCTACCACCTGAGCCACAGCCACCCCCACCCCGACTGTAAACGTCTGAATCATCGTGGGAGATGCAACACAACAGACCGAAAGAACTGACTGAACAGCTGGACCGTAGGCAGAACGAAGACAGAAAATAGCATTGTAGTCACCAGTCTGGCATGTTGACGCTGTCAGTGAGGTGACCAGAAACAACACGGCCCTCACTGACCGGCAAAAAACACTGAAGCCCCCGAAGATGAATGCCGTAATACAGACATTCCTCTCGGACTGCTCATCCGTGAAGTCACTGCGACGCTCATTCTCCAAATTCATGCTCACACAGAGGATGAATGTTCCCCATGTAGAGACACATTTGCAGCAGCGGGCCAATAAATTGGTGGCAAAACTCGACACAATAACAAGTGATTTCCGCTTTTTTTTTTTGCCTCAGCATTCCTGGCCCATCGCAGCATGCCACCAATAAGAAGTGATGGGAATTAGTGTGCAGAGTGTCTCCTTCTTTTCTTTCCTCCTCGTCCTTGTTTGGACAAAAGCCTCACAGCTCGCAAAAAGAAGTGGGCTTTTTTTTTTTCTCCCCTTTCCTGATGTAAGAGCAGCAGTTGAACATTTGCAAAGTCATGCCCCACCTGCTGCAAGGCCAAATCACTGAGAAAGAATGTCAGGATTGTCTAATAGGGCTCTCATACCACCCCTGCTTTTTATTTCTTCATTCCAAACCTTAATGTGCTCGTCCAACCATGCGCACGGATGGCAGATTGACTGAATGAGAGGGAGCGCGTGTGTGTGTGTGTGTGTGTTTGTGTGCGTCCACCGGGGTCTCTGTGAGTGTGTGTGTGTGTCAGATAGCATTAGGCTTCCTATGATTAATCCCCTGCCCTTGTGCTGAGCTGGGGAATTCTGCCGATTCATCACAGCTGGCCCGGCGGGGCCAGAACGAATCACACGGGGACGCGAGGAGAATGACCACTCACTGAGCAACACACAGGAGGGCTGCCAAGATTCCTGCTGCCGCTCAGC